CCCTGCATGGCAATGAGAATTATGATCGCAAAGGGATCAACTCTATCACTCAATTGTTGCTTTTGAGAGTTGAAATCTGAATCCACCCCTGTTTACTGTTGGTTTTTCTCTCTTAACATAAACATCTCTCTTCAAACCCTTTTCAAACCACATGTCTTCTTTATCCAAAATGTTAATGTTCTAGTCCTCAAAAGAAAGTTCTTTGTCCAAAAGGTGTAGATGTACCGCCGAGTCATGTCCAGAGGAGGTATCTCTCCTGTGTTGAGCGATGCGTTTGTGGAGAGGTTGTTTGGTTTCTCCAGTATAAAGATCAGAGCATTCCTCACTACATTGAACTGCATATAGCACTCTGCTCATCTAAGGTCTGGGGTTTTATCTTTAGGATGCACTAGTCCCTGACTTAGGGTCTTATTTGGTTTGAAATTTACTGGGATTTTGTGTTTTGAGAAAATCCTCTTGAATTTTCCAGAGACTCCAGCAACATATAGGATGGCGATGTATTTTAATCTTCTGACTATTATGTGTTATGATATGTGTTGTGTCTTTTGGATTTCCTTGCTGATTTGACAAATGCCCAGTTTGGTTATCAACAGGTTTGAAGAGCATCTTTGATGTGTTTTTCTTTGTGCCTCCCCATAAAGCTTGGAACTCAAAGCTAATTCTGACATTTTTAATTAAAAAAGCTTCCTGGACTAGAGGCGAAAAGTGTTCAAACTTGGAAAACAAAGTCCAGTGGTTTGTTTTTCAACATTTTTGGAATGTCTATGACCAAGATGGCTGAGAATCTTCACCAGCGATTGACTATATTGTTCCCCTGATGATTAGATGCAATTTATTTCTATGGAAGATGGTGGAAAGAGAGAAGGCAACAAGTGGAGGCAGTTTTTAACAATAAATTAAATGGAGACACTGAGTATCGAGCAGCATGTAGCAGAACAGAGAAGATACTCATTTTTTTAATTATCCCATTAAAAGTACAGTAGTGAGGAAAATTAGGTCTTTAGGGCATTAATGGAATTTCTGTGTGTGTGTGTTTGTGTCTGGGGGGGGGTCATAAACGGAAAGATACAATGACTGTATTTTATTTTGGACTTTTCAAATCACACTAGCCTCTCTACTTTGCACTACAGCCATGAAGGTCATACAGATTAGAGTTGCACAACATGACCTACCTGCTTTGATTCTGGGTGTTTCTTGAAGCTCTTTTTGTTGCTGCTTGCTAACTTCTATGTGCCCATGTAAAATTCCTCTGTTGTGAGCTTGGAGTATTCAAAAGTTTTAAGTCTTCAGACTAAACTGTGGTGGCTTTTATTATAAAGGAAGCGTCTTGCAATTGACTATCAAATGAGCATTAGTTGCTCATGCTAACCATACTCTGATAAAAGGAGGCCAAAAATTGGTCTTTTTTATTTATAATGAGTGTGATTTTAAAAATGACCTGCTTTTGGCTTCTATTGCCAGTATAAATGAGAAACACTTCAATAAATGCAAGACCAAAAGCCTTCAGGTCAAATTAGGCTGGTTTGAGAACAGAACAGCCTCATATAAACAAGTATTCATTCATAGCCTAAAATCTGTAAGTTCTAATTCTTCTAAAGTATGACACGTTGAACAGCTGTATGCCAGTAGAACAGATACACATACTGTAAGTCAACTTTTTGATAAAGGAAGAAGAGGAACCAGAGTTTGGTGATTAAACCTGGGTACGTTTGAGTGGTGGTCATTCAGAAGAGAGTCAGATCTAAAAGAAGAAGGAAAGAAAACTTAGATTAACATAAGCATTTAATTAAATCAAAGACGTACCTTAATTAGTGTAGCGACAAACTCAAGGCACGCAGACTGGGAGCAGGCACCAGATAACAACATTACTGCGATTGATGAGGTGTTCCTGTTAATGTTCTTAGATATACACCACTGTTTAAAAGTTTGGGGTCACATTAAAATGTCCTTATTTTTTAAGGAAAAGCACTGTACTTTT